CATCAGAAAATTAGCGAAACTTAGTCCGTCTTCTCCTCCCCACCCCCTACACAGACACACACATACGAAACGAAGACGAAAGCAAAAACAAAAACGTAAAGTCTTAATGTTTTCGAAACGTTTGCCGTGGGGCTTCGCTTTGAAAACGTCTGAATTATTATTTTTTTTGGTGTGTTTTTGGTGCGTGAAGTTTTTTTTTTTTTTGTGAGGTGCTGCTCACCGCTGTTTGCTCCAGCACCCCCTACTCGCTGCGTTTGCGCCTGTGAACGCTACTCGTTTGCACAAAGCAACACAAACTCCAGATCTACTGTGTTGTTCCAGCCGTTTCCATAGACTTTGGGATGACACTGAAATGAGAATGCCATTACTCATTCTCCTGTCCACTGGAGAACTTATCCCACCTCCTCAGGTTTGGGGCTCTTCCCACGTTCCATGAAAATGGCCTGGTTTTCGCATGGCCGTGCTCCTGCACCTGGGTTTTAACTCTCCCCGTTAGACAAGCATCCCTCCTGTCAGGACGCGAGCTGGGATGTCTCCCGTCGTAATCCGTTCTCTGACACGCGATTTCAAGTTTTCACTCCTTGCGGAGATTAAAACCTCTTCGCAGGTCTGAAGACGGTTCAGACCTCCTTCAAGCCATCCCTTTCTTTATAACCAGCTTCTCCCCCGGAGTGATGTGCGTTTTCTGGTATGATTGAGCTTGGCCCATTTGTCGGTATGGGTTATCCTACTGTACTTGTCGGGGGGGGGGGGGGGTCTCTTGATGGCATTTATGGAGCTTCTTTTTCAGAAATTGTACAGTTATCACACCCAGATGCACTGCTTTGGAGCTTTTTATTTATAATCTCCGATGTGCCTATAATGTCTTTTTAACAGCCCGTGAGGAAAATGTGAAACGGAGCGTTCCTTGTTTCGGGGGGTGGGCTGGGGGGGAATGACAATGCTGGTTGAGTGCAGGAGGAGGAAGAGGAGGAGGGCCTGGTGTGTGTGTCCCGAGCCGCTGCCGTCCAGAGATTGTTCGCAGAGTTCCTCGCCCCTGGTTTCTCAAGCAGCAGGTTGTCCTGAAGTGATGCGTGCTTGCCGTGTGAGTTCGGGAGTAGTTTCAGGGCTGTTCACAGCGGAGAAGCGGCGTGAAGCAGTAGGATTTTGAGTTTTCTGGTTTTCCGCTTGTCCTAACTGCGTTATCGTGTTCTGGGCTCTGAGATTCAGGCTTGGGGCAGCCAGGAGAGACGGGCAAACTTGTGTCGAAGTGTGGGTGGTCTCGGGAGAGCATCTTGCCGGCGGGCGGAACTGGCGGAGCGGGGGTACAGCTTGCACAGCACAAGAGCCCCCAAAAGCTGAGGGACGAGAGCAGACGGTGTGGCCTGTGTGTGCCCTCTGTGGCAGTGAGTTCGTTACCCGGCGGGAATGTGGCAGGGCAGGCCCAGAGAGCTCTTTCACCGATCTGGCAGGGCTTAACTGTAAGTGCAGGTCCGGTCCAGAGCCCCGGAATCGCTTTCTTGGGGATCTGAGAACTTCGGGGGGCGCACCGGGCCGAGCTGTAAGCACAATCGGACCCGTTTTGTGCCCGTAAGCAAGGTCCTTCAATCGGGATCGCTCCAGTCGGATGTCCGGCTTTATAAACGGGCACACCTGTAAGTTGCCTAGACGTTAATAAGCG